TATATATATATATATATCAGTAGTGAATTATAAGGGGATTCCCTTATTATTTACTCATGATATATATAGTGGAACATACTTGCTGTTAGGCAGGTCGTAGTTCACGTTCGGGGAACGGCTGGGGGAAGCAAGGCTGCTAACATCAGCCTGAAAAACATCGGATAACAAAACATTCTATCTGTCCTGAGTAAACAACATCAGATACCAACTCTATAGGCAAATAGACTAATTGTGGTAATTACGCCAAGAAATAAGTTGTAAACATAAAAGAATTCTAACAGTAGGCATATAAAACATATAGCAATGTGTTTGTTTACAGTGCACAGTATTTGTTTACCTTCATCAACATTCTGACACCGTAGTTAGACAGCGTCACCAACGTTCCGAATGTCAGATTGCCCTCTTTTTCCAGCGCAGGCGCACTAAATCCTAGTTCCAGCACAGGCTTAAACTGCATCACGTCCAGGCTCTAAATGCCCGGAAATAGCTTTGTTACATTGTATCCCATTATTACATTGTATAATATATTACACACAATCACATTGCATACTTATCATTTTAATACATTAGCCTAGATCCTTTGGATGGAGGGTTAGAGAAATTTGAGCAAGTTTTAGCTTCTCTTCGTTGGTCACTTCTATGGTCAGGCTTGCAAGCTAGTGCTGCACATCCATTATCAAGGATGAGAAGAGTGCTCTGGCTCCACTGTAAGCAAGGGCATCCACGCGCAGGTACATACCTCATCAAAGAGTTCCAGCAAGTCAGGTGCAAAATTCTTCAGAATGGAGAGACATAGCATCAAAATGTGTAAAAACCTGAAACACAAATGACAGGTTGTATGTGATCCCAGCTTTTTTATACACAAACACCTAACTTTAGTTAACTTTATTGCATTTAACAAACGTTGAATGTCTTAACTGGGTCTTGCTATAAAACTATCTCTACTAGAAACTAGGTCTCACGATAACTAGTTGTCACTCAAATTGAATTTTACTAGGAGTGCGTATAACTATGACGAGATTACCACACTGAATCTATTACTAACACTGAATCTTACCAAGACTAGGTCTTACTCTCCTAAGTCTTACTATTACTAGGTCTAACAAAAACCGAGTCAAATGAGGAGCAAGACTCGTACCGTGACTGAGTCTGGATGAGCAGTTCTGTAGGCTTCTCCATGTCGTCGCTGCAGATGCTGCTGGATGAGGATTGGTGATGCAGCCTGACAGGCGTGAGAAGTTCCTCTGTCACTGCCTCCAGCTTATGTGGCTTCTACATGTACAAGTCAGAAATCTCGCTGCTAACAGGCACTACTAACAGTCCTAACAATCATGCGATTCTACAACCTGCATCTGACTTCGTCAGCTGAGTTAAAAATAAGATGTAGAAAACAGTAATAAATACTAGAACAATGCTTACATTTAGTACATGCTACACGGCAAATGATACTTTCTTCTAAGATGTGCTACACGGCGAATGATGCTTACCTCTAGTATGTGCTACACGGCGAATAATGCTTACCTTTAGTATATGCTACCTGGTAAATGATGCTTACCTCTAGTATATGCTACCTGGTGAATGATGCTTACTGCTAGTATATGCTACCTGGTGAATGATGCTTACCTCTAGTATGTGCTGCAGGAAGCGTGGGCGTATGAGCAGCGACGTGAGCGTGTGCGTGAGCACCTGCACGGCATGCAGCGTGCCGCCCTGCTGCTCCGGCATCTCGAGCTGCCACTGCCGCGAGTAACGCGACAGCTG